TGGGGCCGTGGCCCTGCGGGTGTGGCCGGGGGGCCTCCAGCCTCTGGCTGTGGGAGCAGCGCCGGGAGGCAGGAGAGCTCTAATGAAACGCTCAGGGCGCAGCCCCAGCTTGTCTTCAGCTCCCTGGTTCCCGTGGGGGCCAGCCGAAGAGCCCTCAGTCCTGGGGGGGTGGGGGTGAGTCCTTCTCTCGCCCAGGATCCAGCACTGGGCCCTAGGATCCGCCCGGCCCGGCTGGCTGGTTATCCAGCAGCGCTGGCGGGTTCAGCTTGGAACTGCTTTGCTCTCTGTCCTGCGCCAGGCGGGGTTTTGCTGGCTTTGCACGAGGCTGGCCCCTGAGCTCCTGCTGCGCCTGTGCCAGGTGCTGCAGTCTGGCCCCCGGGGACGGCGCTTTTGTGTGGCTTGTGGCTCTGGTCTCACGGCCGCTCTGCGTGCTGGCGAGCGCCCTGCCTGTTACCGCACTGCCAGCTGCGGCCGTGTGTTCAGGTGCTGTTTGCATTGCACGAGCCAGGCTCTGCTGAGGGCGGGAGAACCCCTGAGTGTGACTCTACTGGGTCCCTTCTCGGGGCAGGGTCTGGCCTGGACCCTCCGGGCCACGCGGCCTGGGCAGCAGCAGCCACTAGGTGGCAGCTCTGGCGTTCTCCGGCAGCTGGCGCTGCCGTCACTGGTGCAAAGGACCCCTTGGCTGGGCTCCAGCTGGTGAAGTTGGGGGTGTGTGTGTGCGCCCCGGAGAGGCCTGGGGCTGCCCTGAGTGCAGTGGGGGCAGATGGGGTTAAACAGCAGCCCAGTGTCTGCCCCGTCCAGTGCTGCCTGCAGTGTCCTCTGGAGTTAGATGCAGCGCGGATAGTCGGGACTCCTTTCTGTTCCCTTCTCAGCTGCAGCTTGGACGGGGCTTCTGCTGGCCCCTCTAATGCCCCCCGGCAGCAGCGATCCCTGCAGCACCCTGCCAGGCAGGCTTGGCTTTGGCTCTGTCCACTGAGGGCAGCTCCTCCCCGGTTGGGGCGTCTCTGCTCCGATCTCCGGCTGTGCCTCTGTCCTCCTGTCTGTGATGAATGCTGCTGGCTGGGCCCTGGCTCTGGCCCCTTTACAGCTGTTTTCACTGTCCCCAACACACCTGGCCTCTGCACGTCCGTCCCCCCCTCCAGGAGTCATAGGGCAGGTGTGTTTGGTGCGGGGGGGGGTGGAATTTTGTGCTGCAATTCTTCCCTGCTTACATCCACCCTCATGCCTGCTGCAGTAGCAGCCGCCTCTCCTGGGGACTCTGTGGCCTTGTCCCTGTTGCCGCTGGGAGGGAGAGTGACTGTGAAGGAAACAGGTGGTCTGGACCCCCCCCCCCGTTACTGTGTGTGAATCGAAGCCGTGAGCTCAGAGCACTGGTGGCTCCTGCAGCCCAGGCTCTCTTCCTTTCATGCAGGCAGGGGGCCCTGCAGCAGGTCACCCCATCCCTTCCGCTGTAGGCAGGCTGAGGCAAAAGGCTTCGTGCATCAGCACTGGGGCGGGGGGGAGCTCTGGAGCGAAACCCACGCTGTCTCAGAGCAGGTTGGTTTGTTCCAGTTCAGAGAGCCCATGTCCCTCTGCTCATCAGTCGCCTAGCTGTGAATGGCAAAGCTTGCTCAGCCCAGCCACCCACTCCCTTGATTTAATGGTTGGATCAGGTGGCAGAGTGGTGCCCCATGCAGCTGGTACTG